TGTACGTGTACATCTTGTACGTTCCTATGATCAAATAACAACCATTTTCATTGCATTTGCAGGAATTTTTAATATAAAACGTTCCTAAAAACCTTGAAAATTTTTCGAGAATTCCAAAGTTTTTGTAAAAAATGTATGAAATAGACCACAAAGATCAAAATTTTCGAATTATAAAAATGTTTAAAATATTTTGTAACTATCTACCCCCCCCCCGCTAACAGTCCAGTACCGGAGAGTTAATTCTTTCCATTTAGAATTGCCGTTTATGATCTCGGAGGCGGTACCTTCGATGTGTCGATCCTCGAGATTCAAAAGGGAGTCTTTGAAGTGAAATCGACGAATGGTGATACATTCCTCGGCGGAGAAGATTTCGACGTTACCCTTGTCAATTATCTGGTCAAGGAATTCAAGAAAGCTGAAGGAATTGATATCACTAAAGACCCTATGGCTATGCAGGTACGTTCCCCAATGGTTTCTGCAATCTTCCCGCCTCTAGAGACTTCGTGAAGCGGCTGAAAAGGCGAAGTGCGAGCTGTCATCCACCACCCAAACCGACATCAACCTCCCCTACCTTACTATGGACGCCAGTGGGCCGAAGCATATGACGCACAAACTGACACGAGCAAAGTTTGAGCAGCTTGTAGCTGGTTGGTGTTTGAAAATGGGTTTTAAAGAACGTTTAGATCTTATTAAACGTACTATTGAACCTTGTAAAAAAGCTATGCATGATGCTGAAGTGAAACCGTCAGACATTCATGAAGTGCTACTCGTAGGTAAGTTACTTTAAAACGTATTTGCGTATGTAAACGTACGTGTAGCGGAACTGCAACACTCCGAAAATTTAGGCGGTATGTCCAGAATGCCGAAAGTGCAAGAAGTGGTGAAAGAGGTGTTTGGAAAGATGCCATCCAAGGCCGTGAACCCGGATGAAGCTGTTGCCATTGGAGCGGCGATTCAAGGGGCTGTACTGGCTGGAGACGTCACTGATTTGTTGCTGCTTGATGTGACGCCATTGTCACTTGGAATTGAGACCCTTGGTGGAGTTATGACAAAGCTTATCAATCGGAATACAACGATTCCGACGAAGAAGAGCCAGGTATCGGGTTATTCTCAGATTTTAAAGGCATATTTTCCAGACATTTTCAACAGCAGCCGACGGCCAGTCTCAAGTCCAAATTAAAGTATGCCAAGGAGAACGTGAAATGGCAAATGATAACAAAACACTTGGTCAATTTTCGTTGGTCGGAATCCCGCCAGCCCCGCGTGGAGTACCCCAAATTGAAGTCACCTTTGATATCGATGCCAATGGAATTGTCAACGTTTCGGCGAAAGATCGCGGAACTGGAAAAGAACAGCAAAGTGAGTTAAATAAAAAAATACAAAAAAATGTTTAAAAATACTAAGAAATACTGAAAAAATACTTTTAGTCGTGATCCAATCCTCTGGTGGATTATCTAAGGATCAAATCGAAAATATGATCAAGGATGCCGAGAAGAATGCTGCCGCAGATGCCATTAAACGTGAAATGATTGAAGCTGTGAATCAGGCTGAATCGATCATTAATGATACTGAGAGTAAAATGACTGAATTTGCTGATCAATTGCCGAAGGAGGAGTGCGAGAAAATTAAGGTATACGTATCAGCCTCTAGGCACCTTTTTAATTCGATTTTCAGGTCAAAATGGAAGAATTACGCAAGGTACTGGCCGAAAAAGACAACAAATCGCCGCAAGAAATCAAGGACGCACTCTCGCAACTCCAAAAGGACTCTCTACAACTTTTCGGCGCCGCCTATCAAAAGATGGCCGAGAAAAACCAGAGCACACAGCAAGCGGAAGTGAGTTAGTAAGTAAAAAACGTTATTTGACATTTAGGAAGCCACCCCAAACGATGCTGGCAAAGACGATAAAAAGGACGGGTCCAAATAAACCTAAAAACTTTATAAACTTAAAAATCAGCAGAAGTTTTGTTGTAGCGAGCTCGTTAGAAAACCAGTTGTTATGTTTGTCATGTCATGCTTTGTCATTAATGCGTCGAGTTACCTTATAAAGGATTTCAAGTGATTGTCAAAGTGGAGCACAGTGTTTACACAATCACAGGACGATTCGGTGGTTTTGGAAGCGGAGCTTATGCACTTAGGGGGAGGAGGGTAAAATCTTGGCACTAAAGCTTAACCTAAAGCTAAGGCTTCAACTGAAGCCCAAGCTTAGCTTATCTCAGCTTTGTATTGCCATAGAAGCCTAAATAGATCTTATATAGAGCTCAATTACAGGCAAGCTTAACCGGCCTCAGCTAAGCTTGGACTTGCTTTCAATCAAGCTAATATGACACCAATGCTTAGCTTGAGTTTTCTAGAAGCTTGTAGGAGCTGGCTGGCCTCGAAAATAGCCTTGCCGACCCCCGGAAGAGCGACTCCCTGTGCACAGTTCAGATGCTCTCCGGCTCTCTCCGACTCGCCCCCCACCTGGTCCTCCCCGGTGACGTAAGACCCCATGCTCTGTGACCATGGCGGCCTGGGTTCAAACGACCCAGGTCAGCTTTCTACCGAAGCAAGTCCCCATAAGGGATAGAGCAAAAAGCCCCTTCGAAAGCTAACCGACAGCTCTATCATGGACTGGCGGTATGTACGTTGGGGAACATACAATTTTTGACGCTTTTTCAACTCTGAAAAGCCGATCTACGCTGAATTGGGCTAGCGCTATTCGAGCGCTTTTCTAGCGTAACAAATCATTGTAAAGTACTATTTAAAAAAAGACCTAAAACCTTATTTTTGAAGTCTTTCGTCAATTTTGAAAATCAGAGGATAAACTTCCCAGTTGCTGTGCGTTTTTTTTGCAAACAAAAGGATACCTTTTAATTTTTAAATTTAAAATGTTACAATTTCATCATTTTCAGTTTTGAAGAACCCGGAACAAGTTTTCTTTTGCTTTGGGCCGCTTTTCAAACGAAAATGAGCATGTTTAAATGATGCAAACGTCCCAGTTTAATCAGAAAACAAAACGTGTTTCCATCCTCAGTGACATAATTTGGCTTGTGTCAACGCTTTTTTAGCCGAGCGCTTGGCTGTCGAAAGTCTGGAATTAGCCACTTGATTTTTAGCTTAAGCCTAAGCTTAATTTAGCTTTATGCATAACTTAAGCCTACTAGGCTTCAACTGAAGCCCAAGCTTAGCTTATCTTTGCTTTGAATTGCCATAGAAGCCTAAATAGATCTTATATAGAGCTTAGTTACAGCCAAGCTTAACTCAGCCTCAGCTAACAAGGGAAGTGCACGACCGGCCCACGAGAAATCGACACGCGACATAGTGGATCTGATAGAATCGGACACGGGGATTCCGAATATGTAATCAGAATCTGCTAAATAAAACGGAGAAAAAAAGTTATGAAGCTTCAAAGTTGACCAATTCGCCAAAAACGGTACCTTTACGGGCCCGTAAAAACCGGGGGAACGGAATTGAGCAGAAAAGAGTTAGTGCATCTTGTTCAGCAGAAAAAGCGCTTTCGAATGAGCTGTAATACGTACCATTTGCAAACAATTCACCGAAAAAGATTTTTTCGGATTCACAGGCAAGGGTATGGCCTGTCAAGTTCATAGAAGAGATTTCCGCGAAATCATCGTAAACTTGAAGTAAGATAGCTCATTCGAAAGCGCTTTTTCTGCTGAACAAGCTGCACTAACTCTTTTCTGCTCAATTCCGTTCCCCCGGTTTTTACGGGCCCTTAAAGGTACCGTTTTTAGTGATTTGGCCAACTTTGAAGCTTCATAACTTTTTTCTGCGTTTTATTTAGCAAATTCTGATTACAGATTCGGAATCCCCGTGTCCGATTCTATCAGATCCACTATGTCGCGTGTCGATTTCTCGTGGGCCGGTCGTGCACTTCCCTTGTAAGCTTGGGCTTGCTTTCAATCAAGCTAATATGACACCAATGCTTAGCTTGAGTTTTCCAGAAGCTTGGAGCGGCTTGCTGGTTTCGAAAAAAGCTTCTGGAGGCCCGGAAGTGCCCCTCACCATGTATAGTTCAGATGCTCTCCGGGTCTCTCCCACTCGCCCCCCACCTGGTCCTCCCCGGTGACGTAAGACCCCATGCTCTGTGACCATGGCGGCCTGGGTTCAAACGACCCAGGTCCATTGCTCACCGAAGCAAGGCCCCATAAGGGACACAACAAAAAGCCCCTTCGAAAGCTAACCGACAGCTCTTTCATAGGCTGTCGGTATGTACGCTGGGGAACATTCAATTTTTGATGGTTTTTTCACCTATGAAAGGCCGGAATACGCTCACTTTGGTGAGCGTTATTCGATGGATGATTTTTCTAGCGTAACAAACCTTTGTAAAGTAAGCGTATATTTTAAACCTAAAACCATAGTTTTGGGCTCTTTTGTCAATTTTGAAAATCACAGGATAAACTTCCCAGTTGCTGTGCGTTTTTTTTTTGCAAACAAAAGGAAACCTCTTAATTTTTAAATCTAAAAATGTTACATTTTTACTCATTTTTCGCTTTTGAAAAACCCGGAACAAGTTTTCTTTTGCTTTGGGCCGTTTTTCAAACCAAATTAGCAAGTTTAAATGATGCAAACGTCCCAGTTTAATCAGAAAACAAAACTTGATTCCATCCTCCAGTGACATAATTTGGCTTGCGTCAACGCTTTTTTAGCCGAGCGTTTGGCTGTCGAAAGTCTGGAATTAGCCACTTGATTTTTAGCTTAAGCCTAAGCTTAATTTAGGTTTAACATCCATAACTTAAGTCTAGTAGGCTTCAACTGAAATCCAAGCTTAGCTTATCTCAGCTTTGTATTGCCATAGAAGCCTAAATAG